AAGGTCGTTTGAACAAGCTGCCATCCAAGGTTTGCAACTAGAATTAGACTATGTCATTCTAGAACGTGATGAACAGTTTATAACATTTTTATAAGAAACCTTTGTATTTCATTCTTTCATTGTGGAATGTGGAAAACAGTTTTTTTTGAATTGCGTTAAAAGTAGCTTTGACAAGATGGACATTTTCAAGTCCGCTCAAAATGATAAACCTCTAGACAAGAAGTTTTAAGCCGTTACATAGATATTTTGCAATCGGTATAAGAAGTAAGCAACGTTTTAAAAGAGGAAAAAAAATACGACTCGTTTTTGCTTATTAACTATAAAACTCTGGCTGTTGCATTGAGCTCAAAGTCAGCAATCGGCATTTTGATGGCAAAAAAAAAGAAAAATATAATTTTGAATATCTTTTTCTCAATGAAATATCGGGCAACAGGAATAAAGCAGTAATGTTTCTCTCATAATTTTTTTCGAGTTTTATAATTTGAGCACAAAAGCAGTGACAAGTTCAGCTTTTATTTTACAACAAACAAATGATCTAGATCTATAAACTCAATAGCAAATTTTTACTATTTTAAGTTAAGATAAGCTATATACAAAGATAAGACACTTCATTTAAATTTAAAGTTCTAAAAATATTCTTTCAATATTGAAAAATACTCAAAAAAATTAGCTTTCTTCAAGCTGTTCAAAGAGTGATATTTCTTTCAGCTTATGTCAATTGACCTCAAAATTCAACATAAATCATGTTCTGAATTTCGAAATATCAAGAACTATAAGGCTACAATTATAAGAGCTATTCCTATTATGCAAAAAAAGTAAAATATATTATTGTAGAAAACTACCAAGAAATGAGAAATAAATGGTTTGATGTGATTTTTGTTGTGTTGAAATATTTTTATCAGTGCAAACCTACATCTATGAGTCTAATTATCTATATTAATAACCTAAGTCCAGGATAATTATCCTTACAGAATTGTCTACTACTCTCACTAACTTCTACAGATACTGGATTACCAAGCAGGTTTAGATAGGTTAGTTTACTAGCTATGTTACTATGTACAATGTAATCCACCCCTACATCTGTTATGTTATTGCCAGCCAGGTTTAGATAGGTTAGTTTACTAGCTGTGTTACTATGTACAATGTGATGCACCCCTACATCTGTTATGTTATTGAAAGACAGGTTTAGCGAGGTGATGTGAGTGTTGTTAAAATGATTACACAAACACTTTACGTGATCATCATACAAACTACACATCGCCAGCCCCAGTGCAGTGATTGTGGAGTTTGAATGAAGAGATGACAACAATCTATTTAACATGGTAATGGTTATCTGTGATCTAACAATGTCCAATCTGTCTGGTGGTGATGATATTGATGTAGCAGTGGATTCTAATAACATAGCGAGTGCATCACAGTCCGTGTCGGTTACACCATGTAATGCAATCCACCCAAGACTATCCCAGTATCTGTAGTCACGATTTGTAGTCAGTTCTTGTCGTGTGAATTCTTTCTCTTGGCCGTACTCATGGAGACAGCGCAATAACACAACGCGTTGTATCCATCTATGCATCCCTTGTTTACATACAGACTCTAGTACTTTCGACATAAATTTATCGTTGTTGTTCTCCTGATCTAAACCCAACAAACCACTCGTGAATATGTGCACCATGTTAGAGGTTCCTTGTGCGGCCATTGCGCGCTTCTTCACCAAATGACAAGCAACAAAAAACTCTTGAATGGTTAAATGTGAGAAACTATACTCAAGAGTTGTTTGTGGGAATGGAGAATCACTGGCAACAGGATAACAAAATATTAAATTACTTGATTTAAGGTAAGATATTTCATTTTCTGGTAATTTTAGCTTTTCTAAATCTTTTTGAGTGAAAGCAAAGCGATTTTGTTCAGCTAACTGTGCGGCTAGTTCAGAAAAGTTATCAAGGGTTTTCTCAACAGCCAGCGAAGCCTCTTCCTTATCTAAACTATCCATCTCTCTATTAGCTCTTTCTAGACAACTGATAATATCACGATAAAACTGAGTGAGAGTAAGAGGAACTAAATTATTTCTAGTAATTTTGTTTTTGATTTGCCACTCGATGACTTGGCACACGAACAAACACCTCAGAGGGACGCGACCAAATGACATGTAATGTGCGGTTCCTTTGACTTTCTCCATGGCCATCTTTTTCACTTCTTCTGGTTTAGAGTTGAAATACTTCTCAACATATTGAAGGACCTGTTCTTCTGAGAAACCTGTTATTTCCACACATCGGTCAAAGTGGAGTTCTCCGTCCAACTCGTCGGCTTTGCCTGATCTCGAGGTTATCATGATGACAGAATCGCACAAGATCTCTTTTTTGATTAGTTTGATGACCAGAGCAGCTACCGGCATCTTGGTTTCTGCAT